ACACATGCAGACACACACACACATGCAGACACACACACACATGCAGACACAGACACACACACAGACACACACACATGCACATTTTATTTCCATGAATTACACAGCACTGAATTACCTATCTTCAGAACATCGGGCAGAGGTGCTATTTCCATTCGTTTGTTTAGCCGATGCTTTTATGCAAAATGACTTATGATTTTACCCATTCGTACCCCAGAATATATTTACATAGGCAATTAAGGTTAAGTACCTCTCATGGTGATGTTACAGCAGAGCCACTGCTGGGACTGGAGCCAGCAACCTTTGCGTTCCGTATCAGTGCGCTGAAGCGCTCCGGCGGGCCCCGAATGCCGGCTCGAACCCGGCTCTTAATCAGAAGGGAGTGGGCGGGGTCGCTTACTCGTGCCGTTCTCTCCCTGCGCCTCGCCAGCAAAACGACGGGCAGTTCACGGCCATCCAGCTGGTGGGCTTGCTGCGCGGCATCGCCGCTGGCATGAAGTACCTCTCCGACATGAACTACGTGCACCGCGACCTGGCCGCCCGCAACATCCTGGTCAACAGCAACCTGGTGTGCAAGGTGTCCGACTTCGGCCTGTCCCGCTTCCTGGAGGACGACACGTCGGACCCCACCTACACGAGCGCACTGGTGAGGGGGCACGCCGGCAGACGGGTACAGAAACACACATCATTAACTTGCGCTTTGCGTCCTGCTCTTAACTGCCAAAGAGGCTTATCGGCAGTCCTCAGACGATGAATAAAAGCATGAGTTTGGCTCACTAGCCAGGTTTACAGTACCCGCAGGATAGCTGGCGAGCTTGCTAATCAGCGGTGACCTCACCATGTGAATCTGTTCTGTTATTTTCCTATTCACGCCTTTCAGATATATATATATATAAAAGGCAAACATTCACCCTCCCGTGTCTGTAAATTATTGGAGGGAAGGGTGTTCCTCTCTTTTCAGTTTTAAATGTGAAAGCTTTTGTGGAATCAGATGCACTTTCCAGATGAATAATTCAAAGATTTCTGGGTTTTCACGGCTCGTCCATTACAGTACACCAGAGCCACTCTCATCTTGATGGGAAGTCGACCGCATACAGATTCAAAAACATATATTTGCTTCTCAGAGATTTTGAATTCTGTTTCCTGCCTTGTTTGACACCATTTTTATAAATATTGGGATATTTGGTATTATGCAGCATGCAATCCATCGCCTTTATTATGGCACAATACATTTGATTTGGTAGCACCATATATGCCTGATTGTTACCATTCAGCAAAGGTTGTTCCTCATATTCATTTTACTGAGTTTCCTGGGTTTTCAGGGAGGGAAAATTCCTATCAGATGGACGGCCCCCGAGGCCATCCAGTACCGGAAGTTCACCTCGTCCAGTGACGTGTGGAGTTACGGCATCGTCATGTGGGAGATCATGTCCTATGGGGAGCGGCCGTACTGGGACATGTCCAATCAAGACGTGAGTATTTCAAGCAGCGTAAGTTCATCTCGTGAGTATTTCAGGCTGCGTAAGTACACTTCGTGAGTATTTCAGACTGCGTAAGTACACCTTGTGAGTATTTCAGGCTGCGGAAGTTCACCTCGCAAGTATTTCAGGCTGCGGAAGTTCACCTCGCGAGTATTTCAGACTGCGTAAGTTCACCTCGTGAGTATTTCAGACTGCGTAAGTTCACCTCGTGAGTATTTCAGACTGCGTAAGTTCACCTCGTGAGTATTTCAGGCTGCGGAA